ACCCTGCCTTATCAGTCATGCGCCGTTTTCCAAAAATGTCACTTATGTTTATTTTAACTCTATATCTAGCATGCATTTTTTACAAGCTATTTCCCATTTACTCTTTCTAGTCAAGGCAGAATGTTGACTCTGATGTTACCAATGGTACTACAGGAATCTATTCATTCTGCTGTAACACTATATATCGTCCCATACCATAATTCAGAACTGCCTCACATATGGGAAAGAAATAAAAAGACATTACAGGGGAACTATATTTCTTCCTCAAAGACTAACTTGTGCTTAGAAAACTAAAGGCCCAATTCTGGAGTCATTATTCAGACAAAACACTTCATAATTGTAATGGGAACACAGTGAGAATAGGATGGTAGAACTGTGTTTTAAGGTCCAATTCCTAATTTTTAAGCATCCTTAAATCAGAGAGGAGACTATCGGTCTGCAAATTGAATAGACTTTTTTTGTTTTAAGATCTGTCTGTAATGACAGAAGGGTTTGCCAGTCCCAGAATGCCTTAACGTTTGCTGGTTTCTGATTTTTGAATTCACTTCCATTCTTATTTTCCCCATGGTATCTTACTATTTTATCTGAGTGGCATGCAGTGCGAGCGCATGCTGATGCAAGCACGCTACTACAACGTTAACAGGCTAAAAAAGAAAAAAGCTTTAGCTTCTTAGTTATACAAAGAAATTAGGCAAAAAACCATTGAGCAGCACTAACTCACAGACTAATTACAAACTAAATTGTGCTATATATTAGTATAAAAACATGTTTTAATAAGAATGGCACTGGTTCAGAAGGAATTAGGACTTCCATCTTGGTTCCTTTCGGTCCACAGTGAAAGCATTGTAATACAGGCCTGCCCTGTTGCCTGAGCAACTTGTGACAGTGGTTTTTGGCCACAACCCCTTCAATTTCTTCCCTTTTTATATCCTCTAGTGTTGGTACATTCTGGAGCGCAGCCTGGGTCAGGTCTGGTCATCTTTCTTAACGTGGCACCAGAATAGTTCTTTCTTATGTTCTGATATTTTTTTTTTAAATATCGTTAATGTTTCCCTCTTCTAATCTCTCAAAGCTGGTCAGTTTTAAGGGTCATCTTCTCCCGTAGACACCATTAGACGCATTGCTACTGGTAGGTGGTCTGTCAAGCCTGCTAACTGGGTAATAAAGCTGAACTCTTCCACTTCCTGCAGAAGGAAGACAAAAAGTAAGCAAGAAGGAATTTAAAAACCAATCTGTTTTATCATACGTCATGCTTCACCTTTTGTGCCTCTCCTTCGTTTACTTTGAACTATCTCATTGTATCCATAGATGTATAGGACCAAAAAGGCCTGCAACTAGTCTGGCTCGGTTATGTTATTATGTTATTAGTAACTATCTGCTACACAAGGCGCATCAATGTGATGCAGTTGATGAGGTGCAAAACTGATACCATACACAGTTTCATTAGGCTGGATGAAATCTCTTGTACCCTTTTCTTTCCATGTATAGCAATATCCACATTGTTCCAGATAGGCTTATCTGTAATCCTGCTGTAGGTTACTGATATACATAAGGAAACAGTTGCCTGTGAGGAGGAGGCTGGCTTTACTGTGCTAGACATAGCAGGCTGCTAAAAAGCACGCCTGAATTTATCAGATAGCAATGGTAACCTTCATGGGAACTTAAGATGGTTAGGAGCCTTGCTCCTTGCATCTCTGAAGTCCAGCCTTTGCGCTGGCAAAATTTCGCAGGACCCTTCTATGGGCCAGGTACTTATTTGGCCAGTTCTTTGCTAATTGCTTGCAGGAAGCATAAAGATGCTGTAGTTCAGAAGGTACTTTTTAGCTAGCATTAACTAGCATCCTACAAGAGGAAAGAATCTGGCCTTTTCCTAGCCACTCATGTCTTTTTACCCAGGCAAGAGCACTTGTATGATAAGCCTTATCAAAGACCTAATCTGGGTCAAAAGTATTCAGATTTTTTTGTTGCTGTTCATTTGATTGTAGGATGAGTTCAGCACACAGATGCACTATAGACATCTATGCAAATCCAAAACCAGAAGCCTTAGAAGAATTTAGCTGCTAAACTGGCATGTCTGCTGAGCGCACGCAAACGGAGAGCACAGGCAGATCAAGGTATCATGCACTAAACTGTGGTGAACTGCTAGATTGCAGGTTATTCTACAGTAATTGCAGTGGGGTATGGTAAGTAAACATGAACTAGTTTCTCGTGTTCATCATGGAACTCTGTATAAGGCAAGATCATACACTAGGAAGCAGACAGCACACTGCAAATTCTCTTCACTTCAACTTTTTTCAAAGCTCTGCACTTCAACTTTTATCTTGTAACTTAGGCAGGTTTTCAAAGGCATAGTAAAAGCACAGCCAGGCACTTCTGCAAAGTCAGTGAAATTGCACATAGTTGCAGTAGCTTTTCTGAGCAGGGAGCTTTTTAACAATACAGTTGTAAGGCTTTAAAATGAGCTAGAAGCTTTTTATGAGACCAAAAAAAAAAAAAAAAGACTGCTGGCATGGAAAGCATCAACCAAAACAGCAAAACTTTAAAGAACAGAAACAAGATTTTTTTTTTTTGGTTTGTTTTTTGTTTTGAAGAGCAGCAGATCTACAAGTGTTGCTACCAGAACCACCTAAACCCCGGCTATTATATAGATATCTTATGGTTTGCAAAGTCAGGCATGCAAGAAGTAGAAAATACTAAAGCAGCAAATTTTCCTTTTAACCAAAGCAGGAGAGGCTATGGTGCCATCTAGACAGTTTATTCCATGAGTTATGGCTCTTTTTCTTGTGAAACTCACCACTTTCCATTCCAGGTAGAGACCTTCCTCTGTATAAAGCATATAGTCAATTCTCCTCCCATTTCCTTTCAATGATGCCTTCCTCCCCTTTTGACTGGAACTGTGGTTCTTGCTGGTGGGATAGACTAAGTAGCCTTTCCTTCCTTCTTCACTTTCCAGCACCCTGTTTCACAAAAAAAAAAAAAACCAAGTGCACTAAATGTTTGCCCATTCTGTCCTGTTGTGCATATGCTAGCTTCTCTCCAAATCCCCAGTAAGGGTAATGCCCATCCAAAAGAACTGATAAAACGGCAGTGGGGAAGCACATCTTTTCCCAACTGTGTTTTTCAATACAAGGCTGTAGCAACCGTGCTAACACGTTGATGGTGGCTTTGCCATCACTGATGCTGTACAGTGGGCCTGGGTACCAACCCTTGTAGCCAGGAGAGCAAACATCTGAGAGGAGGCTCTAGCCTAACTGCTCTCTGCAGCATGTTGTAGCCCGGCTTAGCCCCTCAATTGATTTTCAGTATTTTTGAATCTAGCAGTAGGGGAAACTGTTTCATGGATTGCTTTAGAACAAATTTAAGTACTTGGATACGAACCTGTCCATTCTGATCAGTGCAACTCCTTCCGAAATTAGACAACCACCTTTACAGGAAGGATATGGAGTACAATGGTTTTCGGAGAGCGTGTACCTAGGCTTGTGGTGTTTGGCGATCCCAAGCGCTTACTTCATTAATCATGACAGCCAATGAGTGATTTCTGTATAACAACACTATCTTCAAACTTCTCTGCAGAGATGAACTTGCTTAGCAAGTGTGGTGAAGGGGTTAGTGCTGCCCCCATGATGCACAGAGATTACCCAGCCCAAGACCATTTACAGCCGTAGTCAAGATTAAGGTTCAGTTTTCTACGTACCAGTCTTTGTTCAGGCTAATAAGCTGTTCCCCTCCCACGAAAGTGTTTACAGCTTGGCTACTTAAACCTTAAGAGTAGATGTTATACAGAAGACTATTAATGCTCTGAGCAACTCCATCTAACTTTGAGGTTAGCTGTGCTCTGAACAGGAGGTTGGACCCCATTGGACTTGATGACCTACAGAGGTCCCACTCACCCTATTTTACAATAATTCTATATTGCTACGCTGTTCTGTGTTGTTATGCTGTTGAATTTAAAAGGACACTTTCTTGTTTTAGCTTCTTGTATTCTATTTAAAAGGTCTACCAAGGTAGTGTTAAGAACAGCACATGCACAATTGTGCATGCAGAAGGAGAATTTGGGCACGTAGGGCATTAGGCAAACAGTTAATATCAAGTACACTCATAGCAGTTTTGCATCACGACCTAGGCATGCAGAGGGGGACAAATTTGGTTGTGGTTTTGGTATCTGGGTCAAAACACAGAAGCAAACGATTTTCAAAACAAGACGTTTTGATCACCCAGATTTTGAAAACTGACTTTGGATGTTTCTTATGGGGTTGGGAACTTTTATTTTTCCTTCATCCTGTACTCTCAGGTACATGCACAGAAAGAGACACGCACTGAACTTCTGTGACGCGTTCTTGAGGTTTGAGATCAGAATGGTTTCTCTGTCAAATTTTGTCACTTTGGAAGGATGACAGCAAGCAGGGGACACAGCGCTTGCTGCAGCTGAAGAGGTCTAATTAACGTTAGAATCTGTAACTTTTGGTTAATTGAGGCATAAAAGTAGTAGTTTATTTGCCTTTAAAAGACAACTGTGACAAAGTTATAGGTGGCTATTTAATCAGAACTTCTTTAACCCCATTGGACTTAATGAAATATTGACGGTTCTTAGAGTTTATTGTAGCCATTTTATAAAAGTAAGCTTCCTTCTATGTATTATTCAGTTTTAGACTGTCATCTTATAACTTCAGTTAAATTAGCTTACTCTCTGCACCCCATTTGCAAGCTGAACTGTTCATTCTACAGAGAGCTATCGCAAATGATTCACTTTATGACATTTTCTTTCTAGATTCAAGGAAGCAAGCTCTTTGAAACTGACCTCTTGAAAACTGTATTTATATTTGGCAAAGCCAATTAAGTAACACAGTAGATGAAACTGCTGATTAGAGCTAGAGTACAACTGCAAAAAATCTTGCATGAATTTAAAAGGCAAATTTGCTTTAGCTTCAATTCTGTCCTTTTAAAATTCTGTGAACATCAGTTATTTACTTAACCTGCACAAAGGTTCATGGAAGAGAAATGTTAATTTCAAATACATGGGGAAAATGAATTGTAAATGTGTGTGCATCAGTTTCTGACTAAAAGTTGTATCCCTTTACACACAAGGGTCTGCTGTTTGTCTCTACAGCAAGTAGAGACAAGTACCAGCTATCTGGCTATGCCATACTAACAGTTAAGTGCCAGCAATGTAAGTGAACATAACTAATTATGACCACAAAATCATAACACTTCAGTTTTATCAGACTAATTGCTCTAATTCCTTGGGCACCAAGGAGGGAAGGAGAAAAAGTAATTTTAACTCACTTTTTTTCCTGGAAAGATTTAAAGTCCTGAGTAAATTCAAAATTAAAGTACGAAAGCTCTGTCATGCAAGTCTTTGGCTGAGCAGCCTAGGTTTGTAATACTGACCACAGCTGCAGTGAACAAAGGAGCATGAAGAGCAGTATGTGTAAGGGAACCATAATGCAAAACTTACTCCCTCATCATAAAGCTTGAGGGAGTCATTTCTCCTCCAAGAGAGAAGCACCAGAGTTAAAGACCTTTCTTACTGCTTTTCCAGTCTGTAGCTCAGAATCACGAGCCAGTCTTTCCAACCACGGCCCTGGAGACTGGGCCCTTGAAATCTGGAAAACTTTGGACTTAAATGCTGTTTTTTTTAGCTCTGCCGTAATTTGGTCCATACTCCATGCCGGGCACAGAGACTCAGTTGCTTATGCCAGTCGTTTCATGAGGGTGAAATTCACCTTTGTGAGGCAAGATTATTTGTGTGTATTTCCTGAAGGCCCTCTGAGCAGAAGCCTTTGCAGCTTCCAGCACTGTGGCAAGGCCCAGGTTGTTATATCTCCCTTAACTGTTCTATGTTTAGAAACAACAACTTGCTCATTATTTGTACCAAGTGTATTGTACTAGTCTGATGTTTTATGTATGCGGTACTTAACATGAAAGAAATAGTAAGGAACTAGTTGTGCTACTGCTTTCATGGACTAACTAGTTTAATAAGGTGAACTGCTTAATTTTATTCATAAACTACAGAAAAGTGCTGATGAAGAAGTAATTGTCTGGGTAGCTTACACTGCTACCTATTGCTAATATAAATGTGCAATTTAAATGGCTTTAGATCTTAATCAAGATTTATTATTGAAAATTTTCAGAATAGATCTGTTTTAGGCTGTACCCTGTTTTGCTGCATAAGTAAGTGATACTTGTTAACCTGCATAGCGCTCCACAGCTTCTATGCTGTCAATAGCGTTCTGTAGTCTCCAGGCACTTCACGTATGTATGTTAGGAAAGACGTTTATAAAAATGCTTTAGAAGTTTTAAAGCCCAGAGTTCATTAGTGATGTTGAATTTCACTGCAATTTTTATCACTACTTTAACCAGTCCTGTACAATGATGCGAGGAGAGGCTGTCTCCTGTCAGGGCGACGGTTTCTCAAATATAAAACCACTTCTAAGTAACTTAAACATGCAGATCTCTGTTTCCCTGCAGATCTGAACACAGAGCTAGTGGAAATCCCTGTTAAGTAGAGGGGTTTTTAGATCCATTTAAGAGAAATATCACATACTGCAGAAAACGGAAAGCTACTCTTAGGAGGCAAAAAGCCTTATATATATATTCTGTTACCAAAGTTCAAGAATATTTTCCAGTTACATCTCAACATCTCATACTGAGGTGGTATACGTAAAGAGCTTAAGCAATACTGTAAATCTCTATGGATCATCTAATGCCTATTTATCTATCAGTCATGTGCATATCGGTGGAACTTAATTGCTGAATACAATTAACTCGTCAGGGAATAAAACAAAATATCCCCAAACTAATTTGATGACAGATTGTCTCAAAAGGCTGCTTTGGAAACACAGATTTTCTTTTTTTTCTTTTTTCCTTTAAGAGCTCCAAGCCTGCTCTTGGAATCGTAAAATAGAATGTTACACCCACATGCAGATTTGCATTCGCAAACTTGATTGTAGAGGCCAAATTACCTTACTTTTGCTCCCGAAAATCCCTTTCACATGTACTAAATTCATGTTTTCAACACGTGAATTGAAATGCTTGGAAATTTTGCAGGCTCTTCAATGTGCAAAGCATGACTTACTCTAAAAAAAAAAAACAAAATCCTTATTTGTTTAATATAAACTAAACCTAGACCTTATGTCTAGAAATTTACTCAATTTCTTCGCTCAGAAGTGATACAAAGACCTTAAGGGTTAGCTTCACCTAATATATGGAACTACGGGTACATCTATACCATACACTGCATTGCACTTGTTAGTGAATTAAAATGCCAAGATAAACAACTGTGCCTACATAAATACCTCATTTCCATTGTGTGTGCTGTGCTGACTGAACCATCTGTATAGCTATGTGCAAATGCAAATTCATTACTTCAGACATCTTTACCACTTTAGTATATTTTGATAATCAAAAGGTAGAACATCTTTTATAGTTGGTCATGATTACAACATATTCAGTCCGTTAAACTAGCCTTCAAGGAAGAGAAGGTGCGCAGAGAGGTGTGCACATTCACTAAACGCTGCTCTGCAACGTACAGAGCTTCTTAATATCTCTTCACTGGCATATTATTTGACAAATAGTATTGGACTTCAGGAAGTTTACCTTAGGACTTCTGCAAGTTGAGATTTCTTTTGCATTTGTTGTTAAGTCCACTAAATCACACCAAAGATTTCCGTTTCTCACTATCAAAATTTTGAAAGCAATGCTGGACTACTATCCCTAAACTATACTCAGCAGTATTACTCCTAGTTGTTTGATGTGCTGTTTAATTCCTCTCTGTATTTGTGATTCTGCTTCTTTATGTATATTGAATTCTGTAAGCCTTCTAGCATGTTTAAGTGGTTGTTGGACTTGATATGTTTTTTTTATTTGAGAAAAACTGTATTTCTGTTGCTCTCCTTGACTGTGCCAGGACCATGGGACTGGCTGCTGGCAGAGACATCTTCGAACAAGCTGTTGGCGAACCCTTTCCGGTAGTTCTCAGAGTTGTTTGTCCTATTCCTATGGGCCTGTCCAGGTAGGACCATCTCTAGAGATACAAAGGCACTGACTGCAATTGTTTTCATCAAAAATTCACTCCCTAAAGCCAGTTCTAATAGATTTTGAGAAGGAGACACTTTTCCTCCCCTTTTTCTCTCTACGCCCAGACCCCAGATATACCGAACTGAGTCTGTCTTACAGGCCGTGAAACCCTGTCAACTTGTGAAACGTTAAGTAGCAAGCAGTGAACTGGCTTTTTAAGAAGTGGTCTAACGTGGTGTGTGAGGAGTAGGGAACGCTTACTTCTGCAGATTATCTGGAGTGCACACTTCTTCATCATACAATCCTTCGGGATCCAACAAGGTACCTGTGAACAGAAAGGGAAATGTGACCATCTCAGCATACCTCTGCTATGTGCCCCCTCAGGACGTAAGCAGTTACAGCTGCGTGAAGACAGCATAAACGCTGGGCAGAGGGGACTCTTCTGAGCATTTTTTATTCACTTGCTTCTGATCACAAGTAATATCCAGGCACAACGGTTATTCTTCTTATAGGGACCGCATCTCACACTTGACTAAGTGATGATTTCAGTCTAATTGGTTCTCTCTTTTCAGAATAAATGTAGTAAAACACTTTTAGCATAGAGGATAAGGATGCCTGACCTTAGACCTTAGTACCTCAGCTTTTCTTCTGTCTCCCTCCGTATATCTTTTGTTCCATTTTGCCCACGGAGCAGTCCCTACCTGAGCCTCTTATCGTTTTCCTGGCAGATACACCAGTCTAAACTTGACCTCCAACGTTTCCCACTTCTTCTCCTTGTTGTACTCTGTATGCTCACTGTCTCCGATTCCTTAATGATTCTTGCCCCAACTTTTCTTTCCTGTAGCCCATTTTCAGTCTATATGCGTAGGAGATTAACAAAAGCTAATAGCTTCTCGTGACAGGGAATGGGCCTGTTTGCTGTCTACAGTCTAGATGAGCAACCTTTGCCTAGTCTTTACAAGTGACTCCTCTATCCAAACCTTTCTACTATCTTCTCTCAAATGATGCCACGACACTTTCAGTGTCTCAGTCCCAACTTCTCTGATTTTTTTTTTGTTTGTTTGTTTTCTGCTTTGAGTGAGTACAGCCAAGTTATTAAACAGTTCTGTGTTCTCTTTAGTATCTTTGGTTATAATTGCCCACTCTAGAGAAAAGCTAATTCCTGGTCTAAAACCTCACTGAGTTCAACTGAGTTGCACCAGGAATGATCATCTCCGAGTTCCATGAAAGCTTTTATAAGATGAAGCCTAGGAGTTCCTATTGCTGTTCAATTGCTTTGTTACATCCTCCTCTCAGCACTTACGTAACGCCACATGGAACATTCTGATCAAAAGCCGCAGGCTTTCATTATATGCAGAAAGTACAGAAACAGTAATTTGGCTGTGGTTTTTGGCAAAGTAATCTATGGATGATTTTAAAGTAGAATGGGTGTGGGAAGGTATTCAAGTAGCTCGATGCCTAAGTGCCACATTCCATTCTAAAACGTGGACTGAGGTTTGAGAGCTGTATTTGGATCTTAATTATAATTTAACAAAACACTGCTGAGGCTTACAAACTATGTATTACTATGTTAGGGAAACATCAGTTGTAAATATTCAGTCTCTACTACGTTTTTACTGCTCGTTAGCTGCACTACCTGCTGCCTGTAGATGCTGTGTCTGTGACAGATGAGAATGAGTTATGCTCACGTATTGATAGCTAGAGAAGATCTTACCGATTGCCCATGGTTTATCCTCCCCAGGACCAATTCGACACGGGTCTTTGTAGTGTGTAAACAGAGAATGCTGTTGCTCCAGCTTGTCCTCTGCAGGGAAAGAACAAAGAAAAAGGCAAATAGGCTACGTGTTATCAACTTGTGAACAGTGTTTCAGAAAAGGCAAGCCTTTCTTCCTACTCTGCTGCTTCAGCTAGGGCTCTTCTAGTCACGAAGGAGCGAGAGCCATGTTTTATATATTTTCTACAGGGTTCTGAGAGAAAGAGGGCAAGAACAGCTCCAGTCTGTGGGGTTTCAACATTTCTGTATTTCATATTGCAAATAAGCAAAGACCTTTGTTTTGTTTTGTTTGTTCTTTTTTTAAATCTAGAAAGAAGGTACGAGGAAGAAGAGAACGCACATAATTTCCTAGCACCCACCAGCCTGGCAAGCAGACTCATTTGAACCAGTTTCACAGTTTTACTGCGCAGCCGTATCTTGGTCTTGACCAGAAAGTCCAGCAAAATGTTTCCCAATAACTGTGCTTTCCTACACAGTTTTTCTAAGAGAGACATTTTTCAATAGCTTTTAACAGTGAACTGAAGTGAAGGTTTTCTAATATATTTCCTTATCCTCACGTTCTCATTGCGTTATTTATGCTGATACAAAACATTTGTTGAGATCAGACAATGGAGAATTGAACCGACTTCATAATAGTAATTTATATGGCTGCTTGCTGGTGTATACATACATTTCACTAAGCTTGAAGACAAAAGCTTGTGCTGTACTTGCTTCAGAAGAATTCACTGAATGCTTTTCAAACTATAATAGTTAAGAGAAAGACAGGCAATCGATAATTTCATTGGGATATTATCTACAGCATTAAAGCAGTCTTGAACATAATCAGCATAACCCCTCAGTTTTCAGATTAAGCTCTTTGGTACTGTGCTCTACGTATTTAAAGACATACAGTGCACCTAGGTCTTAGGGTTATTTAATAAACAGATATCCTACAAAAACGTATAAATCAGAATTTCAGGCAAAGAACAACATAAGCAAGTTCTTCTTCTGCGCATGCTGTTAAGATAGCGATCATTAAGAATAAGCACAATGAGAACCTGGAAACACCAACTGCTACAATTCCTTTGGTTCTTTTAAATGGCAGAAAGACTGGCAATATCCCCTGATAACGCCTTTCTTCGTTGCAGCCCTTCCACCCTTTACAGTGCCAACATTTCTTAGCAACAGTTCAAGTTTCCTCTTGGGATCACTGGAACGTTCACCTGTGCTTGGAGCGGCTGCTGCTATTTGCCTCGGTCTATTGTCAAGGCAACAGAATCTGTAAGTATGCATGAAAATGGCCTCCTCTAAAGTCAGAAACAAAACTTGTGAACCATGGCCTGGTTATCTTAGAATGCAGCTAAGCACACTTTAGGAAGCAAATCAGACCTCCTTCTGCAAAGCGGTGTTCTTGCTGAGTGATGAAGCTGTTAGCCTCTCCCTGTTAACAAGGAAGGGGAACACAAACGGTAATGTGGAGTACAGTAATATTAAGCATCCATTGCTGTAGGCACTTTTGCTGCCATTCTGTCATTAATACAGCTGATTGTCCCTCAGTTACCGCATCCACACCAGCTGATCTGCCTCATTATCCGATTCCAGCTGGTGTTTTTTTTTTTTTTTCCTTTTTCCCAACTAGCTCTTGCTCTTGAAAAGATCTTCATAACCACAAGCATATTGAAAAATAAATATACCAGGGTATCTTTGAGCTTTGGCAGAGGATGAGAGGACTGACTTGCCCAGATTTTCCAGGCATGCAATACAGAATTTCACTTCCTGCCCGAGCAGCCAATTGATTTGTTTAAGGTTTACTAAACTATACAATGAAATCTGTGCAATTTGCATTTCTCCAGGCTTTCCCTTGTTATAGGATACATCTACAAAACTTCCCTCAGAAACAAGACAGATTAAAATCTTGTCATGATTAATTCACTACTATGGCAATGATAGTTAAAAGTCACAGCTCATGAAATGAACTTATTAACCCATGTGACTAGAAGGCTTTTATCTTAGGCTTTAAGGTTTAAAAATAGAAAAGACTTTTATATGAGTCACTCCACAGCAACCTGACATTGAAGACAACTTCTCATTTATCAGGACCATTATTAGAATTTGCTGCACTAACGTTGAGATAATGCTCTCTAACACTGGGGGACAAGGGAGTTGCAGAAAATTTCTCCTGAGCATAAGATCACTCATGAACCTGGAGATCTTTGAAAATTTGATAGTCAGTGGTACAAAAAAAAAAAAAAATCTGCTATGTCAGTCAGTGGAATGGGAAAAAATACAGAAAACTTTACACAGAATTACAGAAAGCTGATTATTGTAAAAAATTACCGTAAAAACATTCTGTTCTTTGCAGTGCTAAGGAATGTCTCTGTAAAGCAATACATAATTTAAAAAGGGAGAAGACAGCTTTAGAACAAAGCATTAATCTTGCTTAGCGCATAGGAAACAAGTGTAATCTACAAATAAAAAAAATGAAATAGCCATCTTAATTTCAATTTCCAGGCTGAGTGAATTTTAAAAGGAAGAAAAGTAAATGAGCTACATTTATGATAAAAATAAAATGGATTTTTATAACCTACTTCTTAATCCTCTGAAATAATAGTTGCAAAGGCTATAACTATTGTTTGCAAAAGCAGATAGTTGCTTTTTCTTTTGCCTTAAAAAGATCAGTCACAATATCATTCTAACTACACTGTTTTCTGTACTACTTGTGCAAGGTATCGGTCAGAGTGCCAAGGCTCTCAGGTAGAGAATAATCACCGTATGTTCCATCTTACTGCTTTGCTCTTGCGTGTCTTTTTCTCGTCATGCTGCAAAGCCCAACGCACTCTCACGTTCTGCAGACTGCCATGAGCTGCCTGGGCAGCCTCCTCGTTGGTATGCAGCAGATTGTTTATTCCCTTGATGCACATCTTTGCCTCAAGGCCACTCCATCCATCTGAGACTCCATCCAGCAATATTACACATGAAACAGTTAAAGGGCAGCAGTCCTCTCCGTTTGGTATACCCAAGCTTCTGCCTCCGCTCATCAGGACTGCTGAAATTACCTCTCCATCCTGCCCCCACATAGCAACTTGGCTAGCTGGAGATCTGCTTCTGACTAGGTTTCTTCATTCCTTGCTTAAAAATTCACTACCACTACTAGCCTTGTATTTTAGCATAATAAATTTCGTTTCATTACAGTTATTGTGTAGTCAATACTACTTATTACTCATCTCCACTGTGCATAATGTATTCTTCAAGTAGTCAAAGCACTTGCCAGCTCATTTTCGGGCCATTCTGCATTTGCTTTGGATCCGATACTCGTGATCAGTTTACTTCTTGTATACATGAGCTAAAAACTAACAACAGAATAGCCTTGTTTTGGGTTGGTGGTCTTTTCCACCCAAATAAGGATTTCTACTTTAGAAAAGTCTTCCCTTTCAGCCGTCTGATAGAAGTCATGAGATTAGAGAATACTAGTTATTTTGAGATCAGATAAGGCCTGTTTTTTGTGGGATGGTTGGTTTGTTCAGTAGAGTTGATGCTTTCGGCCTCACTAAGTTACCTAGGCTTCTTATATGAACACTACTGAATTCACCCTAGATGCTGTTCACGCGCATCATCCACAAACTGTTAATCCACAAACTCAGGTGGGCCTGAATTGCTGAATCCCAGTTTGAATTTGACCTCATGTGTAATCTGCACATCTCCTTGGTAACCCACAGCACAGATGAAATCCCTGTGATAAAACCTTCCCTTTGCTGTACCTAGCTTGTGCTCTTTATCTCAGTGGTTCAGGTTTGGCCCCATCATGCAAAAGGCCTTTTACCCCTCAGCCCTGGGGGAGGTCAGCCACTGGGCACCTGCGCTTCTGCCAGCTCTGAAATAGCAGAGTCAATCGCCATTGTCCAGAGCCACAGCAAGGGGCTCTGCTGGATGCCTGAACTGTACCTGGTGGGGAAGGCAGAGAGGATATACAAACACTGTGCTTTGCGCTCTGTGCAGGCAGTTTAGCTGTTAACAGAGCATACTATCAAGGTGTGGAAAAGGCTAACATCTCTGAAAACTCACCACTTGTTAACTCTTTTTTATAGTACCCCCCAGCATCCAAACATGGAAACCAATTATTAAAATACTATTTAAAAAAAAAATCTAAACTCACACCACCACAGTTTATTCTTTCCATAACTGATTTGGCAATGTTAAGTTCTCTCTGCAGCATTAATCCCCTCTGTAGATGTATATGAACTACCAAATGTTTTAACTGCATGATTTTACTGCTTCCCCCTCCCCAACAAAAATCCTGTAACATATACTTCCTTTATTAGTAACTAAAATTCTAGACAATAGGCGTCACAGAGCACATCTAAATAACTCAAGTAAAACTAGACCACTGGATCCCTTTATTTTTACTACCGCAAGTCACAAAGTATTGCCCTTTTTGCCTTAAAATACAGCCTGCCTAATAACTAGGCAGAGTTCCTAAGTGCAAGTTACTCTCCCTGGCTCATCTCAAGCCTTGTGCCTATTTTGGAAGCTTCGGTAGCAATCAAGTCTTTCCTTAGGTATGGTTGCAAAAGCCAGACACAGCTTAGTATACTGTTACAACCCACAAGAGGGAAAAAAACCCCAAGAACTGTTACATTACTTGTCAGAGAAGGTACACGCCAGGAAAAGGAAAAGCTTGTCTTACCAGAGGAGCAGTTATCGAAGTTGAGATCTCCACAGATTACATCAAAAGCCACCAGCTCCTCTGGATTGGCTGTGCTGGAGGAGGAGGTAGATTTTCTGAATTCAGACAGCCAATCTTGAAGCATATCCAGTTGCTCACATCGAACAGTAGTATCTCCTGCAGCAAAGAAAGAAATATCAAGAAATAAGATTTCATTCTAGAGTTTGGTACTCAGAATGCTGTATGCCTGTGTGCATCCAGCAAAACCACCAGGGCTGTTGCTCTGCCCCGCTGGTTTTAGATATCTCTGCAGAGCGGGGTCCAAATCCCATCTCTTTCATTCAGAGGATCTAGAGATTAAAGCAAGCTAGGAAGACATAAATAAAAACATCACAGAGCTATTCCAATCTCATTTTCTCTTTCCTCACCCATCAAAGGTGAGGAATCATCAAAGCCTGAACGGGGAAGATGCAGGCAATAAAATTAAAGGAATACTTCCCCTTGCCTCCCACATTTTTTTTTAAACCACTTAGCACATGCACCGCAGTACAGTCTGTACAAGGCCCATGTGCTGCTTTAAGCTCTGGAAAACAGACTTACAAGAGCCATAAGTTGTAGGTGAGCCTTCTGGGGCCTCAACTGCCCATGGAGAAACTTGCTTTATAAAAGTAACTATATTAAAAGTACTTACTTAGAAAAAACAAGGTGAAAAATCCAGCTCTCAATTTATGAAATACCACACCTGAGGTTGTACGTACATATGAAAGTGTCTTTTGTTCTGTGGCTTTAACCATTTTTTTTCCCATGGGATACACGATACAGAGCGAGCAGATAAAGTCATTAAAAGTCTCTGTTAATGCTTTGGCAAAAATGTCAAAATTTTGAAAGCAAGCAGTTGAAAATTAATACGGAAGCTTGAACTTCTATTGTAGTTGTTTAAACATCTGGAATAATTTGTAGATTTTTGTCTCTAATGAAATAAAATATAGCCATATTAGTTGCTAAGCAATGAGGTGGGTAATAGCATACTCAGTATATAGCAGTTAGTTCATTTTAAACTTCGTTAGGGATCACGCTTTTTGATGATTTAAGTATCTCCTTCTGGCATCACACTAGACACTTCTGAGGAAATCAAAAGGCAAGTCACCTGTGTCCCGGACAGCCAACCAAAATGATGACATTCTCAGCCACAGGAAGTAGAAGGTCTGCACTAGACTTATAATTGGGAGTTCAGAGTTAAAATCCTACTTATGCCAAAACTGGGCAGCGTGTTCTTGGGTATAACCCTTGATCTTTCTTTGCTTTGCTTCCTGATTTGTAAAAATGAAAAACTTGCTTGTTCAACCTGCTCATACTTTAGTAATCTACACGAGGAAGGGTTATATTTATGCAAGAATGCCTAAACTGGAAGCATTTCCATGTTTTTAAAAGGCATATATATATATATGATATAGATTTAAGTAGAGAGTGCTTCAGAAATAACCAACCAGATCCCTTTTGCCCGGATTCACAGAAGGCTACAGATGCTAAGGATGTGGCCCAGTTCTACGGAAGTAGTATGAAAGGGTTGAGATTGATTGGTTACTACATAATTTTAGTTTGTGAAGCTACCCAATATATAAAACAGCTCTTTAATTATAGCAAATAAACATGCCTACTTTCAAGCAGATTAGGTGACATCAAGTCTGACAAAAAAATTAATTGCTGTAATTATTCTAAGAGAGCCAGTAAAAGCTTGATATGGGGGAAAAGGAGCAGAAAGAGACACATTTTAGAAATAATTGTTTACTATTTCATCCTTCCTTTCCTTTTCTTCTGTTTTCACTCTACAATAATGAACAATTATAATTTTGTTTCAAACTCAGTGATAAATGTCAAGTCAGAACAACATTATTCTTCTTCAAAATAAAACAGATTTCTTTTCAAATGCCACAGTCGGAAGAAAGCTATTTGTGATAGCTACTAAAAAGGTGTAAAACAGTCAAAAGCATCGTAATTGTGCATGTCTAAAGCTGCTTTCAATGGCCACTTACTATGGAGATGTTGAATATTTAACTCTGCGCATAGGAAATACTTTTTTTTTTTTTGCTTCTTCCTAAAAACCTATGTTACGTCAGTTTTTATTTCAAAGTACTGATCTTTATACAGGCAAGAAAGAGAAGTTGTTGCATATTCTCTTTTTCTAATCTCCGTACGATAAACGCCAAGGAGAAGAGAGTTTACTGATTATACCTTACAGATTATGAAGGCAGCTTTTCAATGATACTTACGTTGCTAAAGTTTCAGACAGGTACTTTTTAGAAGGCTTCTACTCACCTAGACTATTTAAGCATCTTTTATGTAATTTTAAAGGGATGAAGCACTTCTGGAAAGCATCATCTACCTGCACCAATGGGACCAGAATGAGACAGCAGTAGTAATACTTCCCTCATGTAATATCTCACTGGGAGATTAAAGAAAAAAAAAAAAGAAAGAAAATCAAATTGAATGCTAGTTTTATGCTACAGTAGAATAGAAAACTACAGCCCTGTGGATTCAGCATCATAAGACTGGAAGCTACGTGCCAGTTAATATACCAGCGAACAGACAACAACAATTCAGATTCTGGATATTGCTAAACAAGATGGTTGGTCGAATTCAGCTCATCTCTTACTGATTAATAAAGAAATAACATAAATACTAACAGTATCCTGCAACTGCTGAAGGAGGTGTAAAGATTTGAATGCAAGAACGGAAAGGTAGGATTGATAATCTTGACAACAGGCTGGCCGACAGCAACAGTTTCTTCTAAGCCACCTTATCCTTAAAACAGGCCACACTGGATCGAATGGGCTGGATTTCTGATTTTTCCTCACAGCTCGTCTGCCACTCCTCTCAATTGGGGCTGTCATCAGCCCTCTTTGTAGACTGTTAAAATGTGAACTCTGGGGCACGCTAACTGCCTTAGCAGCCAGAAAGTAAGTTCAGGCATTACGACTTCGCTTTCCTACCCCTCGTAACCTGTGAAGGGTTGGATTTTCAAGAATATCGGAGTGGGCGTGAGTTAAACAGTTAAATACAAAGTGTATCAGAAATGTCCAACTAAACATGACTTGATACAATCCTCAGTAATTAAATGAAATATTGAAAAGAACATGACCAGGGAGAGAGAGAGCTTTAAGTACATCCTAACACTGACTCATCTCCGTAGACATTTAATTCCACTGGCAAATGATCCGATTGTTTCCTTCCACTCATCAGTTATTCCTGACAAATCTACCGTTTGGGCTGTAATATACAAGCTAGTACAAGTGCTTTTTGAAACTGCTCCCTGATCTACAGCTTCTAGTTACCTATGCATCAAGTTTAGCTAATACTCTAATCACATAGCTTGATAGAAATCCAGTCTAATGTATTCTTGGGAACATCCCTTGCTACCACAGTGCCAATAAAGTGCAGAACTGTACCTCACGTGTTAATAAAAGCTGCTAGCAAACATACTGATAAACGACACACCACAAGAAAGAGCCCTACAGTTAAGATGTAGCTAGACAAAAGCCCAAGAAAATAGGTCACGTGGAATAAATTACAGCCTGGAGCAGGTGATACCAACCGCTGACATACACGTTCTGCTTAACTAAAAGACACAGAATAAGTTACAGAATCACAGAATGGCTGAGGTTGGAAGGGGCCTCTGGCAATCGCGTAGTCCAGCCCCTCTGCTCAAGGCAGGGTCACCTAGAGCAGGTTGCCCAGGACTGTCAGGTTTTGGACATCTCCATGGAAGGAGAGACTCCATGAATTCTCCAGACCACCTGTTCCAGATTTAAATGACCCTTACAGTAAAAAAGTTTTTTGTTATGTTTAAATGGAATTCTTTGCATTTCATTCTGTGCCCGTTGTCTCTTATCCTTTTGCTGGGCACCACTGAGTACGGTCTGCCTCCATCTTCCTTATACCCTCCCATCAGGTATTTATGTACAACGAGAAGGTCCCCCCTGAGCCGTCTCTTCTTGAGGCTGAGCAGCCCCAGCTCTCTCATTCATGATGCAGCTCATTCAGATTCATACTGGACCCTGATCTTTCTGCAGCATCTCAATCTTTCGATCCTATCTCATCTCCTTAGGCCACTACTTTCCTCTTGACCCAACTTTTAACCTGGTGTCTTTTAACAAGAACATGGTAACTAATCTTGCTCCTTACAAAGCCTTGATTATATGAACTGCTTAGATGTCCAAGATGGGCCTTTTCATCCCAGAATTGTCAAGATTGTGTGTGTGTTTTCTGTGAAGTATCTAGCATGCCTTCGCTAGGGCGAGTGATGCAAAAATAGAGCAATCGCTTATGAGGGTAGGAAACTCGGGCAGCAACCTGAGGCTGATCAGTGTGAAGAACATGGCAAACCCACTTAACTGAAATACACAAATGTGAAATTCTCAGAAACGGAAGACTCGTGAGAAAAAAAGACAGGCAAAAAATGTATTACTGTGAAACGTGTCTAGTAACATGCATTGCCGTTATTGAAAAAGCATTAACTTCCTAGTGACATACATCTCACTTGGCCAGAATTCTGAGCTTTTGGTTTCAGCAGCACTGTACGCTGGATACCCTCAGGACTACAGGAAAGTAGGAACCTTGAAGGTCTAGAAACAGACCATTTCTTTTCTTTGTAGAAAAAGCGTAGAACCTACAACAGACTGGCATCTCTGGCTCTCTCCACTAGAGGTCACAGAAGCAATTACACTTCAGCACACTAAGTAGCGTGTGTGCAGTGTAGTGGGCTACACTTCAGTGACAGAGGAAGGGATCCTTTAATGCAACTTGCATGTAACTTTTTCTGAGATTACTATTAAACTAATACTACCCATCTTCCAGCAGCTACACAACAGGCACTGTATATTTGGAAGTAAAAGAGTTAGCGAGGCTCAGACTGACCAGGTCCCAGTGATAATGACTTTGGAGATAAGATAACTGAACTAATCAGACACCCGAGTAGATGAGATGCCAAACCTGAATCGAGAGCAATCAGTGGAGCAGATGTTTCAGAAACTGCCTGCTGCTGAAATGGAATAGCATCCGTAAATATGAAGAGAAGGGCCCTAGGTAGTAACTCCCACCTATAACGTTCACCGTCTCTTTCCTCCAGCTTTCAGCTCTAATTAAGTCTTCAGATAGAATCACTGATCTGATTGACCGCCACCAATGATTAACCAGAGAATACAGATTTGTATTAATTGCTCTGCAGGTTTTTTTTCCCCCCCTCAATAACTGGGCTGGAAAAATGCAAGTAATTGTGTTGTGACTGGTTCCTGCAATCAGTATTTTCAAGTTCTTTGCAAGTTCCCTTCAGCTTCAAATTGTACGTGGAAAGATGAAAGAGTAGCGTGGGAAACCTCAGCCAGCATCAGTAAATACTGCAGCTTTGCTCATGATAGGATAATCGGAGCTGGCCCTTTTCATTCAGTTTGGGAATGCCTAAGTCAAATCCTGTCTTTAGTTAGAAAGGCAGGTAGGTACTATACGCTGAGGAGGGCTGTTTGGTTTATCTACAGGGAAGAAAGGTGCTAACAGAAGGAACACCAAGATTGGTGAATAAAGCCACTGAGAGGTCTAGTCAGGGGCTGGAAAGGAAAAGACCCATCAGGTGTTTTTAAAACTGGGGCTCTCAGCACTGAGGAGGACTATGGGATACACAGGCAGGGGAATCAGGGTAAGATAAGCAGAAAAGGGATGCAAAGTGCACGTTGCAAGGCCTAGGTAAAAAGAAACACGGTTTCCAAGTCGCAGCGAAAGGATCCAGTTTATCTGTGAGACAGGCTGCAGCAGCTTAAGCAGACCCCTACCACATATTTCTAAAACGGACCTTCCCATGGGCCAGGATAGGCTAAAAAAGACACCCAGCCCCCCCTTTCATTCTGCCAAATCAGCTCTCCAGTCCAGTGCAACACTAAAACAGCTGTGTTAGCACAACTGAGGACGGGGCAAGGGCAGGACAGACTGCCACGGTGCGGATAAGCCAGCTTTACTATTTCAAAAACATATGTAGAATCGCTGCCTGGGGATAGTTAACATGAGATATAGCTGAACGGCGCAAGTCAGGATTTCAAACGCTGAGGGAGCCCTCTCAATCTTGAGCTGAATTCTGCTTAATCTGTATGTGGGCTTGTACAACCTGAGATTTCCCACACACCTCCCCCTTTCAAAAACAAACAAACAAAAAAAGCCATGAAGGAGTTTAGGGGACAGTGCCCAGCATGCTGCATCGTCTGGACCTGGGCTAGCTAGAATAGCTTGAGACTTATTTGGGGGGCTTTGTGTTTTTGCCTGTGTCTACCTCTACTTGGGAGGTAGATGGATTCTAGGCAGCAAAACCAGTTCAGAACATTAATCACTGACTAATTGAAAGGCATAAAAGAACCATATAAACTTAACGGCCCCCTGGAAAATAATTACATTCAAGTCTCATTAGAGGATCCCTTCATTTGTCACTGAAATGCAGCTATTTCCACAGTGGAAATGAGCTGCTTCATAGCAACACTGTAGAACAGGTACAGAATTAAGCAGGTAATTTACATCTAATTCTAAAATTTTATTGAAGGTGGTACTTGTCAGCTCTAAAAAAAGATAGTAGCTGCTCAGAACAGAGTTTAGCCAGCACATCTCTTGCAAAAGCAGTTCTTTACTGACCATAAGCAGTTGGATCCCTTCCTTCTATGTTCATGTGATTATCCGAACTGTCAAGTGTAAGTTTGTGTATCCTAGAAGGGGAGCCAAATTGCACTCAGCCACGTGTGACAAGATGATTTAAACGGTTAACCTTTTAAACTGTGCTTGTTTTTACCACATCTTTATATGGTTGAACTGCTTTTTTTGACAAGTTTTTAAATGTATGAAATGTTTTGAATCAGATGATACAAATCAGAAAGCATAGCGCTGCCAAACTGTTATGAACTTTAGTTTTCCATTTCATTACATAAACTAATATGATTTATCAAAGGACATTGAGACTCTTAAATCCCTGCCTGCTCCATTTGAATGTAGTTTGAACCAGAGAAGCCTAAAAATACGAAGCAAGACTGAAAGTAGGAAAATGAAAAGTGCTGTTTTACCCTTGGAGAAGCTTTGGGCTGACTTTGAGAAGAGAACATTATTTCCCTTCCTATTTAATATTTTATGGGCTTCACAGTGTGGTTATCAAAGACTAGCTGAGAATACTTAACTAGGTAGTAAAAAAAAGAACAGGACTAAAACCAGAGGTTTACAACCTAAACTAGAACAGCAACAAATCTCAGCTCCTCAACAGCAGTCTCACAGTATATTAGCATAATTCCAGAGTTAAAAATAGAGGATGTTACATTGTTAAAACGCAGCTGAAAAATTCATGAATCTTTTTTAAAACTATCCAGTCTCTCTAATGTACTTGAGGGACCGGCAGTTTGGTTTCAAAGTCTGTCTCCCTGCAACTGAAGCACTGACAAAGTAAAACGTACGTACGCTGGTTGTCTGACCGGGAGAACCTAGGCATGCTGTAGAGCCAGGTTCCAAGTTCTAACATTTGTAATACGTTTCTGTCTTGCCTCAGTCTGCAGCGTACGTGCTGTCTTCAGGCAGTCTAGGAGGGCTATATTCTGCTCTGCAGCTATTGTGAACGCGAGTATCATAGTCACATCAAGTAAAACCAAAGGTTTACTTTACACCTCCGTCTAAATTAAATTCTGACCTTACACAGAAGTGAAGGTTTGTAGGTTTGCCTTTTACTTTATTACAACATCTACTGAAAAACCCAGCACTGATACTTTTGATGCAAAAGAGAGGGGAGACACATGGAAAATTTTCCAAACACACGCATACAAATTTCAACTATTTGTCTATTTTAATTGATAGGTGCTCAGGCCAACAGCCAAAGTGGAGAAATTTCTTGATTTCAAAATGTATGCATGAGAACAGTGAACAGTGAAATAAAATAAAACCCCTATGTTACTAATTTTTCCCTTCCCTACCTTCCCAGACCCGGTTTGTAAAACAGAGATAAGGCCGCTCTGCTGTAGTGGCCTTCTTCACTCAGTCTTGTTCCGAGCGCTAAGATTAAAAGGAGAGCTAAGTGTTGAGATTCTATCATAAAAAAAAAGTCATAAAGGTTCCTAAGGTGGTCGAGGAGGAACAGGCCCAGCCACGACCTGACAGACAGAGAGCTCATATGAAATTCCAGGCTTGTTATGAGAAGCGGTGGAATCCACACATCTCTCAGACACAGAAACGTGCTATTAGAGAATATTTCCACATTCGTTTTAAAGATAATTCAGTGAAAATTTAAAACAAAACAAAATCTTCCATACTTTTCTAAGAGTTGTTGTATTTTATTTAGCTTGTTTAAAAGGATCTTGGAAAATACTTCATGAAATAAAGCACACAGAGCATATGCTGCTTCATACTGCAGTAAATAAAATAGTGGAACTATTTTTAAAACATGACCAACAAAAACCTTAAATGAGCATATTAACTTGCTCACAACTTACGTAAGAAATTGGCAGGTCAGAGAATTTGGGCTCATTTCTGCCACTGATTTCTGCTGGAAAAAACTGTCCCAGCTTGTATCTTCTGATAATTCCCTAGTTACATACAAACAAATTTTAGATTATGTGGTGACATTCATAGTATGGGTTGGTAAACGCTGTTGACAATGATGGTAGTAATGCATTTGCTAAAGTAGTGCTATTTAGTTAAGAGAGCGCAAAGGGAAGAAGAGTTCTCAAGGGCTTTTTTCTGTTTCTTAAAATGCTTAATTACTGTGAGACTGAAAAAGTGCAGATTTGTGGTGTCTCTGCCTACCCTCCTTTCCTTTCTGTCTATTTCATGGCTACCTACAGCGCACACTGCCCTTTGTCAGAAATACTGGAGGAGCAACGCTTGCTACTCTTGCACAGGAACCACAGCACAGACCTAGAAAAAGTGACAAACTAAGAGAAGCAAACCAGGACAATACCTGCAATAGCTTGCAAGTGAGTACAGGAAATATATCCCACAATTCTTTGGTCCTGAGGTGTACTTCCCACTTGCACCTGGAAGGGAAGAAAGAAATAAAGAGGTCGTTAATGGGAGAGCTCCACCGTCAACCCCTACTGTGCAGCTTTTGTGCACGTTATTGGCCTTTTGGCCGTTCTTTCCATCTGCCTCCGTTTTAAGCACACAACTCGAGAGACACCCTGTCACGCACTTTGGCTTACCGGGGTTCCCATTGTCTTGTTAATACGCTAACTCCTTCCTGATCACCACTACTTCAAAGTTTGCCTGTCGAACTGTAACACACACAAATTTGACTCTCTTGCTCTTCCCAGTCCCACTGGTTGTCTGTCCCCACTTGTTTTGCACCTTTTTCATCCCAGCTCTTCTTGTTCATATGCAAGATGCTGAAGTGCCATATGATGCTAATCAGCATGCAAGACCCATGCTGAAATGCCATATGATGCTAATACTATGAGCAGTCTAATTCGAGGTTTCTGTGCAAGACTATAATGCAGAAGGAAAAAATGCCAAGCGACTCTAGGGGGAAAAAACAAAAGCATAAAACAGAAAAAACATGCAATGAATACCGCTTTTGACGATGTTTACTCTACTCCCCTGCAGGTTTTGGATTTTGATAGAGATTTTAGGTGTTAGGGATTTTTGCTCTGTCAGTGAAGTGTTTACGATGCAGGCTGCACGTTCAGCTGCAGGATTTCACAGCAGCAGCCTCCATGTCTGTCAACCAGATTAAAATAGGCCACGCGCTCCTGCTCTTATGGGTGGCACAGAAGAGGCAGGGCTTCCAGGGAAGCCCAGTGAGAATCACACTCTGATCTCCACACAGGCTACTATAAACAATGTAGTGTAATTCCCCTCATGTATCTCATATACTGTCGCCTTTTTAAAACAGGTTTGCTGATGGACACACAAACAAATTAAAATCAAATTCTGCTTTAGGGTTTTGATTTTATTGAAGCTTTTGGCAGTTAAGGCCTTATGCAGCTGCAGAGCAACGGTGATGAACTAAAAATTTAAAAATTGAAAAAAAAAAAAAAAAAGCCTCTCCCCCTGAGAACTATTAAAAAGACCACGTCCCTCATATTTTATGATCACGGTCAAGGAGGTGCAAAGATTGTTTTCAGTTTGTTCTTGCAAAAGCATTTTCTGTTATAGCAACACAGACTGAGCCTAGTACTGTAAATGGAGGTAGGAACATGTGCCACATCCCGCCGATGGTGGGCGTCCATCCCTTCGTCATGCCTCACGCCAAAGTACCTGGGAATTTTGCAGGAGGGTGATGCTGTCTACACACTACCACAAGGACATTACACACAAGCACGTTTAGGGTAGAACTGACACCCATGCCTCCAACGTAAGGCGCGTGGTCTAAGCGAGTCAGAGCGCCATAGAATAAGGTTGGAAAGCACCTCTGGAGGTCACCTAGTCCAAAGCCCTGCTCAAAACAGCTCCAGTTACATCAGGTTGCTCAGGACTTCGTCTAGTCAAATTTGTATCATCTCCAAAGATGGAGATTTCACAACCTCTCTAGGCCCCTGTTGCAATATTTGATCACTTCTTACTAATTAGAGTATCTCACTGGAATTTCCCATGTTCCAACTTGAGTCCTTTTAGTTCCTCCATAATCAGTATAAGACAGACCTTTACAGACAGTGATTCTGCTCTCTAAAATAAAAAAATGTACAGAAACGTGATGATTTGTTGTTGAGAAGGGCCCATCTTTCTCCACCGACTATAAAAAGAGCCAAGACACCTACCTGAGACCAGACACCTCATTTTTAGACGGCTAAGATCAGTTGAATCCCACTTAAGTTGAGAAAATTGTCACCAGCAGTAGACCTAAATAACACTCAGCAGAGGATACATGCAGTGTGAGCACATTATATCATCCTATTGCCATGGAGGAGACAGGGATATGCTGGTTTTGCAATCTTCCTAGAGCAGTTTTCTCCTTAAGTTCTGCCAGCTATCCAGAAGGCAACACCGGCCGCTCAAACGAAATGGAAGCTAACAGAAATATACCACAAAGAGCCACCTGAGAAGTGCAAAAGGTTTAAAATCCAATACAGAAATGAACATACTAAAAAGATATACTCTCTGAAATCCAAATCCACAATGATTTGAGGACCAATATTTGGACTTAACTGATTGAGGCAGGAAACTGGTCTGAGTGCACGGTTTTCCTACCGACAGTTAACATTACAATAACACATTGCACAGACTACTGAAGAAAATGCCCATGGAGGAAAGTTTTACCTAGGGTTCAGACAACAAAACCACAGGTGTGCTGATGACTCTTGTATGACTCTGCTTCATGAAGCTGGGCTCAAATGTCACCTGACACCCTTTAAATAAAAAGCAAGACCGCACTGGGTACAGGCAGAATTCTGCCAGCTTGGTCGATTTTCTCATTTTTCAGCTATCCAAGAAACATCTGATTCCTTTTAGAACTGGAAAGTAGGCTTAAAAGTCTTTTGTACTCAGCAATGCCTTGTTAACTTTCATTTTTTGTTCCAGCTAGGAGGAGTAAGCATCTTGCATTACTCTGCGCTCCGTCTGTTTGGTCCTCTTTTAGACACTTTTCCAGATGGATATTGATGGGGTTCCTACTGCTGTTCCCATACAGTTAACCTCCTCCAAGAAAGCTGAAGGGAGAGGAAGACAGGGAAAAGACGCAGATCACTCACGGGTCTGCCCCTAAGCCGGAGGATTCTCCTAAGCTCACAAGATTGCTAGCAAAGTCTCAAAAGGATGTGGCAATCTGCAGGATGGCTCTTACCGGCTCCTGCAGGAGTTTGGCTATGAGGGCCTTTTTCTTCCACCCTCAGGCTGTCTTAGTCTGAATACATTACAGTGTCATAAGGGAATTTACAGAGTGTCCCCTCTACTTTCTTATGCAGCATATGCTGTTCCAATAGAAAAATGAGAGACCATTAATTTAAATCCTCTACTATCTAGGGCAAGCAGGTGTATGAATTATATTTTCCAAGCTTACATAACTCAAAAGGAGATTTTTCACTTCAACACGAAAAATTGTATATTGCAAGTCTCCACCGATTTACAAATTTGCAGTGCAAACGTGCCTGTTGTACGTCTTCCAACGCCATCTACCATAGCCACGCTGAGAAGACAACATTGTACAAAGCTCTTTGTCTTACAGCAAGAACGTGCTTCTTACAGTCCTCTTATTGCCTAAAGCAGATGGAATCATATTCACTGTCCAAAAAACATGAAAGATTTAACTCTAAAAGCTGAACATCAGACCCTAATTTATACTCAGTTGAGAACGAGAAGTCAATGCCGATTGGCTTTAGAATTTGCTACGCCGCCTTAACGGAGTGCCTGACAAGGCCTCCTCTTCATAAACCAGTTTAAACGCAGGATCACACTCGCACCCGTTCACCATGAATAAATACAAATCATTACAGTGTGCATGTTCCTATTTATACTAAAATTGACTTGGGATCTAGAGCTCTCAAAGAATCGCAAGAAACGGCCTAGAAGACAGACTGACGGCCCCCACCTCTGGCTGGGGGAGGCACAAGCAGTGCTCCCGGGATCACCACCGCCACCACCGGGAGAGAGAGCCCTGCGCCGCTAGGAACAACGGCTGCTTTGCACACCCGAGGGGAGAAGGGGAAGGTGCTTTTATTCCCCTCTTAAAAAAAAAAAACAAAAAACTCTGAAGTGGGAGCCTAAGACATTAACAGAATTTCTGTGGAAAGTGCCAGCATGGAAATACATCCACAGCAGCTCTTCTCCCAGACTCCATATTGCCTCCAACTTTTGATATTTTCATTTTTTTAAGTGGCTGTATTAACGCAAACCACCTAGCAGAGGCCTTTCGAGCCTCTTAACGGTTATGATGAGGGAAATATTTGTGACAACTACCAGGAGAAAAAATAAAATACCCTTGATGTGGTCAAGTCTATTCCAAGCTTTAATAGAAGCAGTAGTACATTAAATATGGTCTGAAATAAAATAGTAAGCAAAATCCGATTATTCAGTCTAATTTGTTATTTCACAGATGGGCAAGCGGCATGAGAAGTGCACCCAGGGAAACTGTTTGACCTCCTGAGTATCACAAGCCCTGTAGTTCTGCACAGAAAACACTGCTTTGCGTGGCCAAGTGCTGCAGCTCCTTGGGGCCGGTCCCGTTTGTCGGGCTGGGGCGCGCTGCGGGGCCCGGGTCGGGCTTCGCCAAACCCATTTGTACGGTCAGCACTTCGCCAGCATAACACGTTTCTGACACGTACTACTTAATGCAGAAGAAACTTTGAAATCTATATTTACGAAGAGAAGAGGTGTAAGCAGGTAAGCCAGAGTAGCTAGTTCATCATAAGCTTAAGTTCAGCTCAACCCGTTGGTCGTTAGTAGGTCAGTAGCATAACAGATTCATTGAATTACACTTCTAGAAGAAGCTGCTCCAGAGACTGCTGTCTGAAATCATCATGCGGTTTTAGGTGCATCATGGACCACTTTTCTATGCCTATGGAACTTTACAATGCACTAACATCCAAACAGATGTATAAGTTTCCAGTCTTTTAAAACAGGATTATCTTTACCAAAAAAAAAGTCGTATGTAGTATCCTGTTAAACTCTGCTATTATCTAGAGGTAAAGTTAAAAGAGAGAGATCATATTAATGGTTTAATAAAGTGTCCCAATTTTATATAATTTTAAGTTGACAGAAACAAAAATTAATATTTTTTGATATTATGCTGAAAGAGGCAAAATATATTCCAATTTGCAGCCTCTTTGCAAAAGTTAAGTAATCCAACTAGTCCAACATTTGGAAGAGTAAGAGCTAGGAGGAGGTTCTGATCCCTGTTACCCCAAACTACTACCTCTTGTCAGCCGTTGAACACGTCAAGTGAAAAGAGGCCTTCTTCCATGAAAGAGAAGGCCTACTAAGGTGGTATTTCTGTTTGGAAATCGCAACCTGAGTTTCTGCTGCTCATATTTATGTAATTCACACCCAGAGACAAATGTAAACAAGTGAGAAACTGACAGCTCTGAATTTTTGTTTTCATTCAAAG